TCGTGCCCCGCATGCGGGCGACGATGGGCATCGACGAGGAGCGCTGCGAGGCCGCGACGCGAGTCGTGCGCGCGGCCTTTAGCGCCTACAGCGAGCGGCTCGAGTCGCGGCCCGCCGGCAGCGTGGCAGCGGGCGAGCAGCTGGCCAAGGAGGACCTCGCGTGGGCGTCCCTCGCCGGGATCCTCGTCGTGCCGCCGACGTACGGCGGGCGGCGCTGGTTCGATGAGGAGCGTGGCCACTCGGCGCTGATGCCGCGGGCGGAAGAGCTGCCGCGCGGACTGCGTGCGCTCTGCGAGGAGCTTCGCGACACCGCGGCGGGGAGGCACGTGCTGAGGGTCTACGCAGCGCACCGGATGTAACTAATGTACCCGAGTGTGAGAGAGTGAGGCAGATGTGAAAATACTTCTAACTGTGTGAGAGAAGCTCCGGCTGTGTGGTCACTATAGTTAGACTACTGAGCCACGTATACACCTGTCGCGTCTCGCGGGCGAGAGACATCCGTCGGAGCACTGAGCGATGTCCCTTGTCCGATGTGCGATGTCCGATGACGGTGTGTGACAACTCTCGGAAAATGGGTGAGCTCGATGAAAGAGAGCGCGGGGGGGGTGCCGTCTGCGCTATATGACGGCCACACGGCCGCAGCTCGTGTGGCGTGTCGCCGTCTATGTCCAGAGAGCAGAGTGAAAAGTCCAACGCGCTCGTCGGTGACGGTGATTCGGTGACCCTCAACCTGCGCCGCACTCGGCGAACCTCGACACCTGCCCAACGGGCCCGTCCCGCTCTTGGCCGTGTGGGGACACTCCGACACCACCATGCCGCCCTGCTACAACGGGCCCGGGTCCCAAGGCGTTGTCGACGCGCACACGGGCAGCGCCGATACCGCCCTGGACACCGCTTACACGGGTCACTTTTACTCGACGGCGCGCAACGCCACCTCTGCTTGGGCCGCCGCGTCGGGCTGCACGGCGGCGCCAAGCTACGACCCCTGCAATGGCGTCCTGCGCAACGCCAGCGAGGGCCACAGCTTCTACCCGGTCGCGTCGGACACCATTCACTGTGTCCAATGGTCGGGCTGCGAGATGGGTGTCGAGGTGATCGAATGCATCGACACGAGGGCGGGGCACTGGTCCCCCTCGAACTGGCACGACGAGATCTGGGCTTTCATGCAGCGGTCGATCCGCCCCGGTTCGTCCCGCAATGGCCCAGGTTGATCTTCGGCACTCTGCGGCTGCCCTCGTCGCTCGCTTCTCCCTGGTCTCGTCGCGTCCCCTTTCTCCTCCTTGATTTGTTCTAGTGTGTGCCGAAATACGTAGAAACTCGTCCGTCACGATAGAAAGATTTTCTTATAGCTAGACGTAAGACGAAGGTGAAAAAGAAAGCCCCGGGGTGCGCTGGCCTGCTACGTTCATGCGCTCTCTCGTGTGCTCTAGTCTGCCAGACTCTGTCTCTGATCCCTGGGATGGTTGCATGTATTAGTGGATGGATGCACTATGGGTGGGTGTGGGTGTAAATATCCCTTTTGCGGACCACGCCCTCCGCCTCCCGCCGCGACCCGCGTGCCCCCCCCCCCCCCCCGGGA